AGTGTAGCCGAAGAGGCTGACTCGCCGCCGGACTACTTGGAGCCGTCTTGACAGACCTTTTGGCGAGATATCATCCGCATAATAATCCCAGGGTTGTCAAATAATGTTCCCCAAGAGGGCGCCACCTCAGTTTATCTCCTCGGTAAGCAATCGGAGAGCCACTCGTCGCTCTAATGATCAAACAATTTACGCCTCGCGGGGCAGAGGCATCAGATCGGGACGCTCAAAAGTGTTCAAACAAAAGGAAGCAGCCATGTCAGTGTCAAAATGCTAGTGTAGTTTAGTTCGAATTCAGCCCCAATCACACGGCGTTCAGAGCCCGAGATCGACGGGTTTGCCAGGGCTACAGCGTGGGCATAGGCGCTTGGCGTTTGCACCGTCGTTGCGCTGGCCGGCCGGAGACGTGTTGGGGATGTTCTGGCTAGAATGGCGAGGCAAGCCAGGGTCTCTACCAATTGTTGAGCGGGTTGGGCAGCCAGTGAGCCAGCGTCGGCACATCCACGGCACCGGTGACACCACTGCATCGCAGCGAGGTTGGAACTGGGAAATGCGTAGGTGGGCAAGAAAACCTTGACAGCCAAAAAGGAAACTATCTGCCGCGGTGACTGGTCAGACGCAGGGTTAGGGAGGTGCAAACACAGCAGATATGGAAAAGTGAAGCTTTGTTGCGAGTTTGGTGGATTTGAAAAGACAGTGGCTGCATGAGCGCCAGCCAACCCCTGCCTGGCACCTGCCCCCACCTGGACGACACCCCCACCATTGAGGTATTGAGGTGCTTGCCTGCTGAGTGCAGGTGCTGTGTTGCATGGTTGCATGGATGCCGGGTGTTGCTGCCCTGGTGGAATGGTGGAATGCAGAACCTGAGCTTATAAGGCAAGAAGGGGGGGCAGGCGCCCGCCGGGCGGGCAGGAGCCCCGCGCTACCTGACCCCAGCCTCACTCCTGGTCCCGTCACTTCCCGTTAGGTACCTAGGTGCTTGCTACTGTCTGCTCTCTTGTCTTCGTCGCTGCTCTCGAAGCGCCCAATTCCGCGATGGCCTTCCACAGCAGCAGAGCAGCACAGCAGCGCAGCGAGCACCACAGCAACACGATAGCCGTCGCCAATGCTCCATCCCATCTCACCACATCGATAGCATCGAGCATGCGGACTGCCGAGAAAGGCTTGAGCAAGCTGAGGTCGAGAGCGAAGTCGGCGACGACCAAGACACTGCACCTCCTCGAAAAGCGACCCGCTCGCCGAGTGAGATCGAAGCAGGAGAGGTCGACCCCGATCCTGAACCTGCCCACCGAAATCGTCGTCCTCGTCGCAGGCCTGCTCAGCCTCAAGAACCAGCTCGCCTTCTCCCGCACGAACCGCCACCTCTACCACATTGTCAATTCCGTCATCTACGAGGACAATGTCAAGCATGCAGGCGCCTCGTCCCTCTTTTGGGGGGCTGTCAACGGCCGCCTCGGCACACTCAAACACGCCCTCCAGGCCGGCGCCGACCTCGACGGCATAGCCCCCATCAAGGGCAAGAACCCAGACGCTGCCGACGGCGAAGCCACCGATGTTGTTGTGTCTCCAGCCGACACACATCCGAACACGCCCCTCCTGCCCTGGGCTACCCCTCTCCATCTCGCCGCCAAGAACGGCCATCGCGACATCGTCAACTGGCTGCTCGACAACGGCGTCAACATCAATGCCCCCTCATTCCGAGTCTGCGATTGCCAGGCCCTCAAGCCAGGCAGGCACCCTCTACGGCGGCTTGCTGAGTGGCCTCGTTGGCGAGCCCTGCACACGGCCCTGTGCCACGAGGAGCGGTCGGTCGCCGAGCTCCTGATATTCCGAGGTGCATCGCTCCAGCTCGACGCCACCCCCGACCACAACCACACTGCCCTGCACTCGGCTGCCGCTAATGGCTTGGTGCCCGTCATCAAGCTTCTGGCCCTCGACGTAAACCTCAACATCAACGAACGAGACGCCTCCGAAAATACGGCCCTGCATTACGTCGCCAATCTCTGGGCCGCCCGGGATTCCGCCGAGATCCGCGACACAATCACCAAGCTCCTCGCCCTCGGCGCCGACCTCGAAGCCCTGAACGAAAACGGACACACCCCTCTGCTGAACGCATGCTACCGAGGCAATTATGCCGTGGCTCACAGGCTGGTCAGCATCGGGGCAAGCCCGGAGCCGCACAGCTACATCCCCAACTTCCGAGACTTCCGCCCGCTGTACTATTGCCTTCTTCCGCGCTCCGAATTCTTCGATCTCGACGACGCACCGATCAAGCACGACGATTTTGAGGGCAACCGGGTCAGTTTGATCAAGACTCTGATTGAGTCCGGCGCCGATGTCGAAGCCCGCTTCAACCAGCGCGGATTCCACAGCGTGACGGCCCTCATGCTAGCCTGCGAGCTAGCCGAGCCCCGCGCAGTCGCCGCACTCATCCAGGGTGGGGCCGTTGTCAACGCCCAGGATCGACATGGACGGACCCCACTATTTTACGCGTGCTCCGTTCGAGTCGAACACCGCGGCGAAGTCCCCGAAATCGCCACTTTCCTCATACGCCACGGAGCACGGATAGACTTGGAGGAAGATCCCAATAACAGTCCTCTGGACTGGGCCATCAAGCAGGTGAGGTGGGGCGACAGCATCGTGCTCGAGGTGATGCTCAAAGCCGCAAGCAAGGTGAACCTCACACATCCCAAGCTAAGGGCCGCGTTGAGGAGATGCGCTTCCAGCGGCAACCACAAGGCTTTGAAGGCTCTTCTCCAGTTTGGCGACAGGACGTACGGGGTGACGGAGGAACAGGTCAAAGAGTACATGGACTTGACTATAAAACAGCACGATCCATGGAACCAGCGTGACACGTTCAACACCCTGATGGACTTTGGGAGGGTCATTGACTCCAACGAGGTCCTTCTGCTCAAGACGATTATGCAAAAGAATCGCGATCTGAGCCTGGCAGTTCTAGAGCGCGGCGTCTCGGTCTGTGATAGCAGGTTCTACGGCGGCCAGACGTATCTGCACCTAGCTTGTCAGTGGGGCGATATCGAGGTGGTCAAGGCATTGCTGGAGAGGGCTGCCGACGTTGATGTGTTTGACAACGAGCTCAGGACACCCCTATCTATTGCCGTAGTAGAGAACGCCAAGATGGTCGCAGAGCTCCTGATGAAGGAAGTCGCGGACCCGCATCTCGTGCCCCCCGACGATCTTCTCAAGACGCTCTACAACGAGGATGCCGATGAATGGCGCTTCGCTAAACGTCGGTACCTGTCTGCCTTCGAGCTCGCCATCCGCGAAGACCGCGTTGCCATCCTCACCAACATGCTGTCACACTACGAGTTGCCCGAAATCCCGCCAGGCTCGCGGTACACCTACTTGCATCGAGCGTGCGAGAACCCAAACACCGAAGTGCTCAAGCTACTATTAGACAAGGGCGCCGACGCAAATGGTGGGAAGGGGTGTCTCAACCCACCTGTGGTAAGTCTACTCCGCCACGTCTGGACGAAGCCGAGCGTCCCGGATACCGGAACTGGCGCGCTGCAGGCCGCAAAGCTGCTGTTCAAGCATATGGCTGCCCCGACGGCGGCGATGGCCATCCTGAAGGAGATCTTGCTGTATGAGGGCAATGAGGTGCAAAAGCTCATGGTGGGGGCGCTGGTCAAGAGGGAGTTGGCAGTCATCGTGGAGCGGGATGCCGAGGGGAATGTAGTGATCGATGTGATTGGGGATGATTAATGAATGGACATGAAAGGATGGATTACCGGCTATAGATCTGCTTCAGTTGCTGCGATTTGAGATTTCGTTCTGATCTACTGCTCAATAGCAGAGATGGTGTTCATAGGGTGTTTTTCCCTTTTCGGTTGTGATGGGATATGACTGAGTGCGGTGGGATGCTGACGGATGGATGGAATATGGGATGGATATACCAGGGCTGCCAGGTCGGGGGCCATAGGTCAAGGTTGATGTTTAGACTGCGGGACACATTCAGACAGAAACAAGGTAAGAGATTTGTGGCCAGTGTGGTGGTGCACACAATATCAGTCGCAGCGAAAATGGTAGATGAGATTGCCAGTGATCATTGAAGATGGGGGGAGAATAATACGAGTATACATTACCCTGATACATGCCTTTGGTTGTCCAAGTGCTTGTGATGAGTGGGAAGATTGGGTGCTTTGTTGCTGTTGCTGTTGCTGGTGTAGGGGTTGTGTGATATGTGTTGCCGGTGTTAGGGTCGGTTAGCGGTAATGCCAGCTAGAGTCTATGTTGGGAGCAAGTGAGAGAATGTTCAATAGGTTCCGATTGCAAATATAGGCTTTCGTCTTTCGGCATTGACAATGGTGATGTAACACCGTAATGTTTCTTACCAGTACCTCAGTACGTCGAGACTATTTACACCTGGCGTGTGGTAAAGAGCATCGAATGCGGTTCAGCTTGTTGTTTCATCACGCTACATCCCAGGCTCTAGAGGCTGCCCAAAGAGAGGATTTCTCTGTATGATGACATAGCCAACACCAAAACCTGGGGATGTACCAAAGCCACAATGTAGAATATACCACTGACATCTTAGTAATTGCTATTTGAAATTTAATTTCAACACATCTCAATTTTTTTATTTTTTATTTTATTTTTTTTGGTCTACTGAAGAGAAACTTGCGGAAGACTTTGAATACGTCGCCTTATGACTATATAGTATGCAGTTTGGTACCCAATAGCAATACCAAATGTTGCAATATGACTAGGTAGCTATGATTTTAGCATTTGATATACAGAGGGCTCATTTTGCTTGTTTGAAGATGGCATAAATTGAGTACCTAGATGTGCCACTGGTATAATTTCTTTGGTTGACAAATATTTAGAGGACAAAGTTCATATTTATCATACAGACGACGATAAAAATTCTCGAGAATTCGGGCGACACACCCATGGATGAAGTGACCCAGATACGAAACAAAACATTTCACTTGGTCAACAAGGCAAAAAGAAAGAGACTGATCGAATTTATAAAAAGAAGCCGCCAACGGCGAGACTCGAACTCGCAACATTCAGATCTCTTTGATGTAAAAGTCTGACGCGCTAACCAATTGCGCCACGCCGGCTTTTCAGATGGTTGATTGGTCATGGCCAATATTTGTCCCCATAATGGCATGCGCTGTCTCCTGGACTAGTTCACCTCTTTCTCAGCACAACAGCAAATTCAAACCATTGCAGCTACCCGAAGCAGGCATCAGTCAATAGCCTGTGCCATTCAAAAGCAGAAGATTGATTGGCTTAAATTCTTGGATTATATCTCGTGAAACTTTGGAATCCCCACAGCTGACGCTTCCTCCCCGTGACCTCATCTTGAGTCGCGTTGCGTTCGGTATGTACCAGGGAAGGTGCGCCCAACCTATATGGAGAGTCAGGTCTTGAACTTTGGGGTCGATGCTGACTCTTGCTTCCAACATCAAATTTTTGCCTTCTTCAACCATGAGCCATCCGAGTGCTCCGAGTGCTCCGTCCATCTCAATGTTCACTGAAAGCAAGTTCAAGTTCCACCAGCGCGCTGAGTCTCCAGTAAAAAGAAGCAACTTCCACCTGCATCTTGGAATGAGCTCGATGGAATTGACCCAAATCCTGGATTCTGGAGGGCTGTAGTGTAAGCTGCTTCCTGCATTGGCCCAAACGCGGCCTAGATTTTCAGCTTTACTGTAGTTCACAGCTCGAATTCCCGAAAAAGGCAGAGATGGGCGACGCGTGTAAGTCGACAGTCTGGGGTAGGATGTCGTGATCGTGGGCTGACAGGAGGTGCTCGTCGATCTTAGTGTCGACGGCGCCCAAACCCCACGATCACGACATCTGAGATCGGACGGTGAAACGCAACGAAAGAATCGAGTCCCCTGCTCGCGCGAGGCGCAAAGCTTGTCGGCTCTTTTCAAGCTCGGCCAATTTACCCAATGGCAACTGGCCCCCTTTCTCGGCCTCATTGTGATGGGTCCCGGCAGCCGAAGATCGACAGGCACGTTCAACAGGTCCCGCCCGGTTCGCGCCAGGGGCCCCCTGTAAAGTATGGGGTGATGGAACGCGACACTGAGACGCTGGCCGCCCAGTGTCTGGACGCCAGCAGGGTTCTCCAGATGTCAGATGGGGAGGCCGCTCCAGAATGCTCGACATCACTCCTGATAAGCGACTCGGACACGGACTCGGCGACGGCCAGGGCGAGATACCTCCAGGGAACACAGACTCCGCAGCCTGGAGGACTCATTAATGATAGATGCCACAGTCATGATTCCAGGAACTGGTCGGGCATCCTCCGACTCGACCTGCCGATACTGCGTGCCATGGTCCCGGAGATTAAGAGTTGCACAACAAATGCATGCACGATGCAGGGCAAACTGTCAGTCCGGCAACCCTGCCGGACAATGTGTCGTGCAGATCGACGTCCTACCGGTCATGTTAGCGCACTCAATCTTTTTTCCTGAGTAGGAGGCTTGCAGCAAACACGTTCCCGTCTGTTCGGCCCTGTTGGCGATAACCTCATATCGTTCTTACCCGTTCTGTGCCCCCTGTCGATGATCTCTGCCACGGCCAGCTAGCCCACCCCCTTCCTCCAAGATGCCAGCCTCAAGGCGGCGGGGTACACATTGCTTTCTTTGGTTCTGTCGTGGGGGCTTCCGGCTGAGAACGTCACGACCCCTTGGATTTTGTAGGGACTTGCATCGTCGACGGGCATGATGGTATCATCGTTTCCATCAAGCACGACAGCTGTGCTTGGAGGCAGCATCATGGCCGTCAGATTCAGGAAGGGAAGTGATGAGCATAGCCAGTAGCCCAATAGAATATCCGATGGGTGAGTAGAATGTATAAGTATCAGACACAGAAACCCCCTCAAACTATCTCATTCTTTCTCATAATCAGCATCACCATCGGGATCTTCTCATCTCATCCACTCTTTTCGAGATCATCACATCTCAGCCATTCTTTTAATTCCCTCAGCGGATCACCACAGTCACTATAATGCATACCTTTGTCGGCTTTGCCCTTTTGGGCCACCTCGTTGCCCACCTCGCCGGTGCCTCTCCAGTTGGCGCTGGCAAGAGAGAAGGCCTGGGACTTCCAGTTGATCTCCCCATCAACCTGGCTCCAGTTACCGACGCCATCACCAATGTCCTCGATCCTCTCCTCGGAAGCGACCCATCTTCCGGCCTCGGCCCTAAGCCCCCCGGCGGCCATAAAAGGAGCCCCCTCGAGCTCTCGAAGCTGCCATTGCCCGATCTTGGACTTCCCCTCGGCGGTGGCAAGGGTGAGGACAAGAGGAGCCCCCTGGGTCTCAGCCTCGGGCCTCTCATCCCTTTGATCCCCGGTGTCACCGAGCCGTTGACGGAGAATGCGATACCCCTTCCTATCCTCCAGCTTCCTACTCCTCCGCTGGAGAGCGAGCCTGAGCCGTTCGCCCATCACCCCAACCTGAAGCCCAAGAAGATCGGCTACTTCTGGACCGGCGCTGGTGACAACAAACACAAGGATTTCCTGGCCACCACCAGTCTTGACGATGTGAGTGACACACCCCAGTCTTCCAGTTTTCAATAAGATGACAATGGCTAACAACTCTCAAGGACACCTTCGGTACTATCATTGACATCACCGATGTCCCGTCCAGTGGCAACTCGCCCCATCATCTGGGCACCACTCTCGATGGCCAGCTCCTCGTTGGCGGTGGTCTCCTCTCGCTCCTGAAGACCCAGGACACTGCCTACTACTTTGACGTCAGCGACCCATACAAGCCCAAGTTTGCGCACAGCAACCGCGGCGTCCTCAGCTCCATTGTCGACGAGATCCGGGCCAAGCCTGACGGGTAAAGCATCTCTACTTCTCACGCCCCCTCAACCGCGGCAGTTGCTAACATGGCACTTTAGTGGCTTCTTCATCACCTACATGGGCTCTGCTGTCGGTACTTCTCCTGGCCGCCTGGTTGAGACCGACCCCGTCGGCAACATCATTCACGAGTGGCCTGAGGATGTCGAGGGCACTCTCAACATTCTGGGCGAGCAGTTTTCGCCTCACGGTCTGAGCATCGACTTCGAGGCCGGTATCGCCCTAACTTCTGACTTTGTTGTCCCCCTGACCATCCTCAAGCCCACCCTTGGCATCCAACGCGCCGACACCCTCCGCCTCTGGAACATTGAGACCCGCACCATCATCTCGACCATCACCATCCCCGATGGCCAGGGCATCCAGGACGTCAAGTTTATCCCGGGCAACAAGGAGAGTGCTGCTCTTGCTACTGCTGTTGGTCTTGGCCAGGTCTGGATCATCTATCCATTCCGCTTCGACAAGAGTGGAAAGCAGGGCGTCGCCGAGCTCCTCTACGATCTCGGCCCCGCCGCCAAGGATTCGATGGCCATCTACTCCGACATCTCTGACGATGGCAAGCTCGCCTACTTCACCATCACCCTAGCCAACCACGTCGCCGCCCTCGACATCTCAGACCTCAACAACGTCAAGCGCCTCGACGACCCGAACGAGGAGCAGCCCATCATCGGCCCCCACTACGTCAAGATCTCGCCCGACAAGAAGAATGTGCTCGTTCTCGGCTACTTTGTCCAAGCCGGCGACATCTCAGTCCTCAACACGCCCGCCGACTTCAAGGCGCACTGGCTCGATATCAACAACGACGGCAGCATCAGCTTCAACCGCACCATCGACTTTGAGAACATCTTTACGCGCACGCGCGGCGGTGCTCGCCCCCACTCGGTCGTCATCTTTGACCTGACCAACCCCGAGGATCCCAAGTTCTACTAGATTAGTAGGAAAACTTCTGGTTACGAACGATGCGGATGATCACGGCACAACATCATGAGATGGGGTCATGGCGGGGACGGGGGGAAAGGGGTTTCATGCTGACGAGGACTAATCATTCATTCATTCTAGTTTCTTATTCTTGTCTTCTGACAGATTGTGTCATCCCACGCTTTTACCACTTATCCTCTTTTTCTTTTGGACTCTACTATTATTCTTTTACACTCTACTGATAATGTCAAATACCACTCGACGGGAAAAGCTAGGATATCGTCATTCTGATCCGGATAGCATTGCGTGTTTCCATAGACTCGCGAATACAAGATACTGGTTGCAAAGCACTTTGAGTTCTCCATCATACGGGCTCTCTCTCTCTCTCTCTCCGCCTTAGTCGTCCTTCTTCCCCTGACTCTTGACCCCCTCGTTCCGCATGCCCTGACACCCCGTCACCCGCCCGGCGATCTCCTCGGCCTTACCATAGCCTTGGGTCTCGGGGTTGCGGTTTTCCGTCGCGGCCTGCAGCGAGGCCTTGGCGTGGGCTTTGTCCTGCTCGCCCGAGGTCGCCCAGGCGTGCGAGCCCATGACGCTGCCGATGGCGCTCTGCCCGCATAAGTCAGCCCTCACCACACTCCACAAGAAGTCGAGCATTGGGGGGACGCACCTCCGCCGCGCCCTTGATGTACTCGGCATGGCCGGCGATGAGGCCAGGCTGCTCCGGCTGGGTGTTTGAGTTCTGGGGGTTGGACGACATGGTTGTACGATTTCACAGCGGATGGATGTGATCTCAGTAAGGGGGGGATTGCTGTTTGGGATGCAAGTTTGCTAAAGACAAAGGTGTGAACGCGAGGTTCGAACATCGAGGATAGGAGACTCGATCATGGACCCCTGACGTCATACATTCCTTCCTAATAACGCAAAGCGCTCACCACCCCTCCCGGAAACCCCGCTGCGGTAGGGCGCATGCACAACAGCGTATCCCTGTTTGCCAGCCCTACGTTATCGAGTCGTCCAGTGGCCCCTGCGCGCCCGCCGTCTGGTTGCTGACGGACAGAGAAACAGCGCGAACGACGCCGAGCGTCGCAGAGGGATACTGTGGTGGGAGAGTCTGGGGAAGATTTGGGGGTGCGTAGCAGATGGCTTGGCGAAAGCTTACTGCCGTGGTGTTCATGGGTGGTTGTCATGTTGCGGGTGGAGTTATGGACCGTGGGTTGGGGTTTATTCTCACCGAGTTTGCTTCGAGTCGTCCTGGAAGGCAACGGTAGAGTTACCTGGACAGAACTTTCTCGAGGGGAACCTGAAAGGGCTTCATTGGAGCTGTTTC